CTGGAACCACAATTTCATCTATTATACATACGGCAGTTTCCAACCCTATTTATCTTGCACTACAAAGTTAATAGATTTATGAACGGCCGATGTACCCAGGCGAGTGACAGGTGTCCTCCTAACCTGGGTCAGGTGCACCTCGAGTGGAATGTGACGAATCCCCTTGCAATGCACCGACAGCCATTTGTGTTGTTGTAGCCGGTGCGAGACAACATGGTAAAGAATGTCATTTAGTTTAAGCCCCCGCCCTCTAATTAAGTATCAATGCGCTTTCTTATAGAAATTCTGTGGAGGTATGCATTTGTCCTGGAGGGGGTCTATAGTGAATGCTAGTATACATGTATGTGCTCAGGGGTGGACTTAGAGGGGGACTATTAGAGTATGCATCTTGCAGGTTTCCAGGGCTAAGAAGAGTCGACAGGGGTATATTTATCATGCCTTTATCACTTGTAAGTCATAATATGCTAGTTCCTTTACACCGATATGGAAATATCTCATGAAAATAACCACACCGCACCCCCTCTCCCAAATCGAGGACTAAGACACTTCCAGACTATGTTAATATTTCTCCCAAATCTACGACTACACCACTGACAGTAGACTATGTTAATATTTCTCCCAAATCTACGACTACACCACTGACAGTAGACTATGTTAATATATCTCCCAAATCTACAATTACACCACTGACAGTAGACTATGTTAATTTTTACCCCAAATCTACAGTTACACCTCTGACAGTAGACTATGTTAATATTTTAAGTAAAGATTAAAGAGAGTATTTTTTACATAACATGTAAGTTGAGAGGAGACTCATTAATATGTATAACTATTACATGGCTATTACAATGGCTTTATGTGCCGTCTAAGTGTGGCGTGGCTTTATATGCCGTCTAAATGTGGCGTGGCTTTATATGCCGTTTTAGTGTGGCTTTATGTGCCGTCTAAGTGTGGCGTGACTTTATATGCCGTCTTAGTGTGGCTTTATGTGCCGTCTTAGGGTGGCGTGGCTTTATATGCCGTCTTAGTGTGGCTTTATGTGCCGTCTAAGTGTGGCGTGACTTTATATGCCGTCTTAGTGTGGCTTTATGTGCCGTCTTAGGGTGGCGTGGCTTTATATGCCGTCTTAGGGTGGCGTGGCTTTATATGCCGTCTTAGTGTGGCTTTATGTGCCGTCTAAGTGTGGCGTGACTTTATATGCCGTTTTAGTGTGGCTTTATGTGCCGTCTTAGGGTGGCGTGGCTTTATGTGCCGTCTTAGTGTGGCTTTATGTGCCGTCTAAGTGTGGCGTGACTTTATATGCCGTCTTAGTGTGGCTTTATGTGCCGTCTAAGTGTGGCGTGGCTTTATATGCCGTCTTAGTGTGGCTTTATGTGCCGTCTAAGTGTGGCGTGGCTTTATATGCCGTCTTAGTGTGGCTTTATGTGCCGTCTAAGTGTGGCGTGGCTTTATATGCCGTCTTAGTGTGGCTTTATGTGCCGTCTAAGTGTGGCGTGGCTTTATATGCCGTCTTAGTGTGGCTTTATGTGCCGTCTTAGGGTGGCGTGGCTTTATATGCCGTCTTAGTGTGGCTTTATGTGCCGTCTAAGTGTGGCGTGGCTTTATATGCCGTCTTAGTGTGGCTTTATGTGCCGTCTAAGTGTGGCGTGGCTTTATATGCCGGCTTAGTGTGGCTTTATGTGCCGTCTAAGTGTGGTGTAAATGTTTACACGCTGCGGCTCTTATTTCTCAGGCATCGATACCGTCTTTCTCTAGTTCTATTGTGTTGCAAATGATATCATTCCTTTTAATGTCATCTTCAGATGCTGTAAAGAGCTGATAGCATTCAGATACCTCTAACCATCTGGCCACATATGAAAGATTTGTTGATAGCATTCAGATAGCTCTAATCATTTGGCCACATATGAAACATTTGTTGATATCATTCAGATAGCTCTAATCATTTGGCCACATATGAAAGATGTGTTAATAGCATTCAGATAGCTCTAATCATTTGGCCCCATATGAAAGATGTGTTGATAGCATTCAGATACCTCTAATCATCTGGCCACATATGAAAGATTTGTTGATAGCATTCAGATACCTCTAATCATCTGGCCACATATGAAAGATTTGTTGATAGCATTCAGATAACTCTAACCATTTGGCCACATATGAAAGATTTGTTGATAGCATTCAGATACCTCTAACCATCTGGCCACATATGAAAGATGTGTTGATAGCATTCAGATACCTCTAACCATCTGGCCACATATGAAAGATTTGTTGATAGCATTCAGATAACTCTAACCATCTGGCCACATATGAAAGATTTGTTGATAGCATTCAGATAGCTCTAACCATTTGGCCACATATGAAAGATGTGTTGATAGCATTCAAATAGCTCTAAACATTTGGCCACATATGAAAGATTTGTTGATAGCATTAAGATAGCTCTAAACATTTGGCCACATATGAAAGATGTGTTGATAGCATTCAGATAACTCTAATCATTTGGTCACATATGAAAGATTTGTTGATAGCATTCAGATAGCTCTAACCATTTGGCCATATGAAAGATGTGTTGATAGCATTCAGATAACTCTAACCATTTGGCCACATATGAAATATTTGTTGATAGCATTCAGATACCTCTAATCATTTGGCCACATATGAAAGATTTGTAGATAGCATTCAGATACCTCTAATCATTTGGTCACATGAAATATTTGTTGATAGCATTCAGATAGCTCTAATCATTTGGTCACATATGAAATATTTGTTGATAGCATTCAGATAGCTCTAACCATATGGCCATATGAAATATTTGTTGATAGCATTCAGATATCTCTAACCATCTGGCCACATATGAAAGATGTGTTGATAGCATTCAGATAGCTCTAACCATCTGGCCACATATGAAAGATGTGTTGATAGCATTCAGATAGCTCTAACAATCTGGCCACACATGAAAGATGTGTTGATAGCATTCAGATAGCTCTAACCATCTGGCCATATGTCAAAGGTGTGGTGCTCCCCACGTGCAGCAGGGACATATTGAAACTACTGATGAAAGTGATAAGGGAGACCATCTGTTACATGTGTCTCGTATTGATTTTATAAAATTGTTGGGGTATGTGTGCTGGAACCACACAGTTGGTTAGCGAGTATGTGCTTTAAATACACACTTCGTAGTGAGTATGTGCTCGTACCACACAGTCGTTAGTCAGCATATGCTATAACTGCACAGCTGTTAGTGTTGACGTGCTACATGTACACACTTTGTCTCTACTAGGTGTACAATCAGCTCTTTGGCAACATCCCAATAGCATTATCACGATGCAGCAAAACGGCTTGATACAATATTTATTAAATCTGTCATTTTTTTTTTCTTTTCATTTTTGCAGTATTGAGAAAAACGTTCCAAAATAGTTCTCATGGTTATCGGACAAAGGTACGGGATCAACCCCAGTGGAGCAATAACATGAACCGGTGAAGCACCCATTCGTCCCATCATGTCCTGATATCCGTAATGTCATGAGATTATTTTCATGACAGCCACGGAGATGGCTTCATCGTGGCATAACTTATCTAGTGAAGAAGACGACCCTATCGTCCACTCGACATTGCACGATAGCACTGGGAGGTACGATGGCAACGTCAACAATGAGGTTACTTATGAGACGTCATTTTCCAAGAAAAAACATCTCAAACTCTGACCCCCCAAACAAAATGGATGGAAAAGGTTTAACGGAGCCCATAAAAAAAAAAAATCACAATGCGAAAAAACTCTGCATAATGTCCAATAACAACTCCAGCACACGATATCCTATAACAACCCGATCATACGATTTTATAGCAACCACTACAAGACGTCTTTACAATGCCAAAAAGCCAGCATTAAATACGGTGCGTCCCTGGTAGGAAGGGGTAAATGGCAATTCAGCGTTGTTGCACGCACCCTATTATACGTTGGATGGACGATAACGGAGCAGGGTAAGCTACACGACATGACAAAGGGTAGTGTTATACCACGATAGACTTGCGAACATGAATAGCCTCGTCCCGGTTATCGTTGGCCCCCGTGAACCCCCTGACGTGATAATCACGATGATGTCAAGTTAAAATGAGCGCCCATGACACTCGTGCCGCATGTACTCTAAGTGTCTAATGGTTGCACGGACATTATCGTTCACGGCACATCCGCTGCAGACATTTCTATGACCCAATTGTTCACGGAGTCTCATTCTGGCTGCAAGGTGTTCTGATGCTTCACGGGGTTATAACACGCAGGGGTTCTCACACTCTCACACTCACTCGGGGGGTTCTAAATCTTACATCGCGGTTCCCATGATAAATTATGACAACGATTTGCATAATAATGTTTTTAATAATAATGACGTATTTATTGCTATTTGTTCGTTTATGTTAATGAATCTTGTGTCAAGGAATCATATGTGACAGAATGCTATGTGAATGAATTCTATGTGAGTGAATGCTATGTGACTAAATGACTTGTGAATGAATCCTATGTGACTGAATGCTATGTGAATGAATACGATGTGTCTGAATGCTATGAGTAAGTGGCAGGCTTACTATCACTACTACAATAACATCTAACAACCAACTTGACTAAAAAAATGAGTTTAGGCTTAGCCACAATAAAGAAGGGGATCCGGCAACTGCCTGTTCCTATCAGTACCAGTGGGCTATTTTCCTGACGAAAACATTTGACGAAGCTGAGGCTTAAAACGAGTTGAGCTCTGGAGAGCTTGGTGCCGGATTGCATAAAAAGATGTTGAAACTCAAAAAAGGTGGTGGGATTCATTTTCTAAGGAACAACTTTCTTCCTATCGCATACAATCCAATGAATGTGATTTAAGCTCTAAGTATGAAAATGTAACAATTAAAGGTAAAAAAAGAAAGCAATCCAAGTCTACAGCTGGTGTACCAGGCAAATCCATCAAGCTGACTAAAGTGCAGAAGCGAAGAATTAGGCAACTTTCACAGCCAATTCAAATATAAGATACAGGACATTCTTGCCCTTAAAAGAGATGTGGACGATGTACATAGAAGATCTGATTAAATTTAAAAGTTTGACCAAGGAGAGTCTTCCAGTTGCTGCTCAGAAGTTGATGGAAGCTGATTTTCATGGTTGTCCCATAACAGTTATGCAATCAAAATGTCCCAGCTACATTGGAGCTTATGGCATTGTTATTAAAGAGACAAAAAATACCTTTGTGCTTGCCACTCCAGAAGACACTGTCAAGTGTAAGTGAATGGAATAAATAACATGTCTATCTCATGTCTTTTTAAAAATATAGCGATCTGTATTACTGGTACCACTTGTCTTGGCAGTGTCCTCTAGGGAGAAATAATTCTGAATTTAGTAGCGTTTAAAAAAAAAAAAATCATTCAGTTTTCTAATTAAATCCTACCGTACCACACAATCGAGGATGGGTTTAATTTAATTGATATATCCTTCTAGTATTTTTAATTTACTTTTTGCTATTTTACTTCTCTAGGATGTTGTATAAAATTATGTCCCACCTTCAATTAAACTGTAACTACTGTGACAAAAGTTATACCATTATCATGCAATTGTCTATTGCCTCAAGCTTTCAAACCCCTAGTGCATGATTCCCTCACAAAGTGGCACTAGAAATCAGTGAAATTTCCTCATCAACACCAGGAACAGACACATTGCAAATCCCATCTACATGCATAGGAGCCAAAATGATCATTAAATTGATCGTGGGCCCTTAAGATTTAGAAGAAGAAGAATGGATCCTATGTGACTTAATCCTATGTGACTGAATGACTTGTGAATGAATCCTATACTGTGTGACTGGATGCTATGTGCATGAATATTATGAGATCATTATACGATGAGTGAAAGGAAAATGAACAACTATTTCAAACTATTCCTGTAGCCTGTTGCGGAGTCAGGAGTATAGCTATTTGTCCCCTGACTTTGCAGGTCTGCTTTAGAGGAGGGACACTGTTGGTAAGATCAGAGGCCGGGGCAAACATATAAGAAAGGCACTTGACAATAACAAAACAGTTCAGCAGTGCGACCATCGTCCCTTGGTTGAACACCTGAAATATGATTCTTTTGAAGATGAAAGGCCTGGAAGTAATGCGTCCATTTGATGGCCAATAGCCTCTTGAGTCAACAGTCCACACGTGAGGGTCTGCCAACAATATCCACGGGTCTCGGTGGGTGGTCCTAGACGCGGGCTGGAGGGACGCTTTATGATGCCCTGGATCTTTATTGGTTTATATCAATTGAAAGAAATTAATAACCTAGAATGGGAGTCGGGCATGTCGTCCACGCTAGGAGTCGTGACCATTTGTTTGCCGGGCGCTAGCATAGCGTGCTCTTTCAATAGCTGATATGTCAGGAAATTAACGTTGAACATTTGGTCTTTAAAATGACACCGGAGATGACGTCATACAAAGGGTATTTTTCTATTGGGAATAAATCTAGATTGGCGACAGAGCGATATTTTTCTTTCATTGATTGCGATAAAAAGGTTTGAGCTATTTTTAGGCTCAATGTTTCTGTCATTATTTTTTTTTCTTGGATGTAAAGTAAACAATTTAAAAAAGGTCAACAAATTGAACTAATACAAGAATGGTAAGTACCGTACATACTCGCGTATAGGTGGCACCAGTGGATAGGTCGCACGCTTAGTTCCGGGTTGTAAAAGTAAGAAAATTTGCGGTTGACTTTCAGAATGGTCGCACCCTTAGTTGGGGGGAGGGGGGTGTTAAATGGGCATGTTTAAACTAATATCTGTTAAACAGTTAACTTACTTTTACCATAACAATTTGAATACTGCAAAACAATCGCAATAAATAAAACAACGAATGTCCCTTTGTTGCGGTCTGCTCGAACGTAGGCGAGAGCAAGGAAGAAAACGGTTCTCATTTTTTCGTATAAGTGACTACTCTACAAGGAATAACAGTAGGCGAAATCGATGTCGAGTGGTTACGACGCATCTATGATTTATCGATTTTTTAAAAAGTGCCACATAAACGCGACTGTATACGGCAAAATAAGATTATGTATTCTTCTTCTTCCATAATTTGAGGGCCCACGGTCAATGAATTGATCATTCTGGCTCATATGTTTCAAAGAATGACAAAGCACGGATGGCAACGAGATCAACTAGTGATACAGCACATGGATGTACGTCTACAGAGAGGACTGATCTCAAGAAAAAGTCACGAGTTGAACTGTGAGATCTGCTCCGCAATCTAGACAAGACTCGACAGTGCCAAGGTTGATTGACACATGACATACCTGCCGCTACGTCATGACTCACAATACCGGTAAAACAAGGGCTCCCGGCAATAACTGTCATTACACGCACCAACGCTCCCACGCATCTCTCCCCGCCCCCACACTAACGTAACCTTTGATATCATTGGTTCTCATCCGATGTACAACCTAATGCCCTGTACAAAATCCCTGGCGATTATAACAAAGTGTACACGAAACACAAATACATTAGCGCCACACGTACCAAGTTGCAAGTTACCTTATGTGATATGATCCAAAGTTGATCATATTTGAATGGGAAAATGTATGTGAGCTTTATATGATACCTAATATGTCCCAACAACAACGATGACCACATTTTGTATGAATGTTATTGGTAGTCGAAAGCTGAACGGTATCTGTACTCAGACATGATGCAATGTCATAGACGCTGGCAATTTGAATAATTCAGAAAATATTATTTTAACTAGATTCGCCTTGAAGTTGCAATCAAAGTTTCGGATCCATCAAATACATCGACAAAAATAGCATATGCCCGTAGAACCTAGATGAACCACAGCACAAGAACTTTCTTTTAAGTTTTATGTATATTCTTGGCTTTTATATTTAGAACCTATCCTTACGACAACACGTTTGAAGGTGTACAATAACTGCAGTGAGAAGACTCGCTCCTAGCTTACGCATGGTGCGGGACAGTTTGCGTGGGAAGTCGTGAGTGGGACCACAGGCGTGGCGTGAGTGTGACTCACATGTACAAAACAAGATTGACTCTAAACGGTTGACTCTCTGACACACAAGTCCGGTGTCATTTGTTACGTTGACATCCTAATGAATGTGTTCGACATCGTGGACCCGGATGACGGCATCAAAGAAAAACCTTGAACCCTGTGGTAGGCGGAGATGAGAGGAGAAGGGAGATGTTAGGAGAATGGGGCATGATGGAAGATGGTGAGAAGGAATAACCATGGAACAAGGGAGAGTTGTAGAAAATGTTGGGAACAAGGGAGAAATATGGAAGATGTTGGGAACAAGGGAGAGTTATAGAAGATGTTGGGAACAAGGGAGAAATATGGAAGATGTTGGGAACAATGGAGAAATATGGAAGTTGGGAACAAGGGAGAGTTATAGAAGATGTTGGGAACAAGGGAGAGTTTTAGAAGATTTTGGGAACAATGGAGAAATATGGAAGATGTTGGGAACAATGGAGAAATATGGAAGTTGGGAACAAGGGAGAGTTATAGAAGATGTTGGGAACAATGGAGAAATATGGAAGATGTTGGGAACAATGGAGAAATATGGAAGATGTTGGGAACAATGGAGAAATATGGAAGATGTTGGGAACAATGGAGAAATATGGAAGATGTTGGGAACAAGGGAGAGTTATAGAGGATTTTGGGAACAATGGAGAAATATGGAAGATGTTGGGAACAAGGGAGAGTTATAGAAGATGTTGGTAACAATGTAGAAATCTGGAAGATGTTGGGAACAAGGGAGAGTTATGGAAGATGTTGGGAACAATGAACAATGTTGGAGAGAGAGAGAGAGAACGGTGTGAATGGTGATGATGATTGAAGTATCAACGCACATGTATACCTAGAAACGCCCCGGGTAACAGACCAACCGAAAGAGAAGATGTTCACCACACAATTTATTTTCGTCAGATCGACCTACAGAGAAAGCTGTTAAAGGTAAGTGATAAAAGAACAAAAGAAATGAATTGAGTCATTACGGTCCAAGCCTCCCCCGAGCACGTCACCACCAACGCGAGGGTGACGGGCACTTCAAAAGGCCAACTGAGAGCTCGTTAATCCTGACGGTGGATTTCAACGATCATTACATTCTCAGGCGTATCCCACGCAAATGTGATGGCGCTGACGACACCATTTTCACCAGGGCATCAATTGACGCAGGATGTTATTTGATAGTTGGCTTGTAGCGCCGAGAGTCTCAATCTGCACGTCAGACACATGGGTTGTAGGTTGAAAAAATTGCAGTAAATATTTGACAAAGAGCTAGGTGCTAAAGACAAATTTTGATTACTGGCGGTGGTGATGAGGAAAACAACTGCCTCTAGCAACGTACTAAAAAAAATAAACAACAAAATGATTGGTATTTTCTCGGGACAGCACATGACGTACAATTTTTGACATACAATTTCGAATTAGTATATTATACTAACAGAAAAAAAAAATAATGTATTAAAATGGATATGTGAGATCCTAGCGGCCTTGTTCATTTGAACATGGGCAAAGTTTCAAAATTATTATTTTTATACGTATTTTCCCGGAATAAGAAATAGTCTGTTCTTCCAATATTTAAAGGTGTAAATATACGGATGAGATCATTATTGTACCATTTGATGGGCGGTTATGAACAGTAACGGTTTCAAACATGAACTTAGTCCACGTCTGCTCAGATGTAAAGACGCCAATTCAAATGATCAATGTGTGCCGGGCAAGATATATTGGAAATCGAAGGGGCCTGTTTGTGGCCCTTAGTATTTACTTTCAAGGGAAGATACAGATACTACAGGAAATAAAAAGAAAAAGAACAGCTGGATCTGATATCAATTATAAAGAGCTAAAAATAGAATTTCCAACGGTACCCAAAAGATATCTGGGAAAACATGCTGCAGTCTATAATTTACGAGCTTTCGAGTTCTGGCTTCCGCATTTCATTTGTTATAAGAGTGGACGTTTATGACTTTGGTCGGGGAAATATAAATCAAAAGCATTATCAGTTTTGTTAAACAAAATTAAATGTGGTGTCCGTGTTCAGCCACCGGTTCTCAAGGACTTCAACTATATCGACGAGCACATTGCACACGTCATGCAGTTTTAAATTTAAAAAAAATGATTTTATTTTTGATTGGATTTGGATTTAATCCTAATAGCTTAGCTCGCGACCAAATCCTGCGAACGACATACTTTTTCCACGTACGTTTTTTTTCCCCCAGGGCTAATGGTTTGCACACTGAGGCCCCTTTAACCA